CATTAAATCACATAGAAGAGAGCATTTGTGGCTCAGTGTTGAATTGTGGAGTCCTTGGTTAGTTTGGTTGTTTTCTTTCAGATGTTTCATTACCCAACTGGATAACATTCTCAGTGCTAGAAGGTAGTGGCATTTGCTCTCTGTTTATATATGGTGGTTTGCCCTGTCAATGTTGATGGGAGTGGGGTTTTTTTTGGTTGTTCCTTGATTAGGCTGTTGTGTACTGTTTTATTTTTTTGACTGAATTGGTAGTTTTTTGATTGGGGTATTGTTTACTGCTTGATTGTTGATCTGGTATTAATTCTGATGTTAATCCCTGCTTATCCACTAAATCAGTTTGGAGGCAAGTTAAGATTAGAGGTACCACCACTGGATTTGCCATTACCCTAGCCATTGGCATTGGAAGACTAAATCGGTGTGGAAGAGGATGGACTGTGCTGGCATCAGTTTTGTGCTGTAAGAAATACCAGAACTCTTGAAAGTGTGACATGTTTCTCCATAGTGTAGAAATGGGTGGTGCCAGGCTGGGTTATTCTATTCTCTAGCTCTATGAACTGAATTGAAACTCTTGAAGGTCCGCCTCCCTGGTCCCTGGGCTAAGTTCATGATTTACTAATGGCTGCTGCATACCTTCTCCAGCGACAGCACTGTGATCCACTACTTTCCACACCCTGGGTAAAAAGTACTGTAGAGAGAAGATTGCCTCCCCTAGTGGTGAGAACTTAGGTTTTCCTCGCTTCATGGCATTACAATGATTAAAAAAAGGAGCCTGGGTGGAGAAATTAAAATGATGTTAGAAAGCAAGAAGTAACAGACTTTAATTGGAGGATTGTAGGGATGTGTGATGTAGTGAGAGAGGGAACTATGTGGAGTAGCCCTCACCACTTTGCTGACTGGGGTGCCTGGGAGGGAAACTGACTTGGCTATTAGTGACCCTCATATAGTTTTTTTTAGCCTGTAGTCAGATGGTAAGTTATATACATGGAGATCTTAAGATGGGGAAATCAGTATTCATTTATGATACAATGGGAAAATATGACGGGATATTTTGAAAGACCTGCAGTTTGTTACCTGTCTCAACTTCTGTCTACCTGCCTCACTCCTGGATTTGGCAGACTGGATCTTTAAAGTCACGTGTAGCTTGTATTTCAGACATTTTCAGGGCCAGCACCACCAAGTGTAACTTTCTGTGGGATACAGACCATTTCTTTATGATGGTTTCCACACTGGAATGGCCTCGCAACAGAATCAAGCTGCTATCTTTCTGAAATGCAATAAACTTTGGTAGGACCTTTGAATTATAATTTCTTGCTGTGTAAACTAGGGTTAGTGCCATGACTATAATTGCTTCTGTTCTATTAGTCAAGTCAATAATTCTTGTTTTTATCAATTTTATGTTTAAATTTGATTTTATTGTTTTTTGAGTTTTATTTGTACAGCATAAGTACCACAGGTAAATTTGATTTGATGGTAAGTAAATATAATTAATAAAAGGATTGAAAGAATTCTAGAACCCATTACATTCTAAGCTTTCCCTACCTTTTAAAAACATTTTTTCTCTTCCTCAACTCCTGCATTTATATTTAGCCTCTCTTGGTTCAGAGCTGTCCAGTCACATCAGGTTTTCTATTCAATGACCTTTATTCTTGCACTTTACTACAATGTTTATTGCAATAAATATTCTACAGTTCTATTGTATTGTAATATTCCCTGGCATAGTAAATTCCAGGATCTAGTCTAGTAAAAGTTTCTTGAAGAGCGGGTACTTTTCAGCCTCATTCAAGGCCAAAGGGACTGCCTCTTCACTGAAGAAAGCCAACCCCACCACATGAACCCAACCATCATTTATCTTCTGTACGGCTTTAACCATCAAAGATAGACATGAATCTAATAAGCAGCTGACCAGGATACCGGATGTGAAAACCCTATCAACTTCCTCAGGAATCACAGAGTCAAACTTACTACAGATAATCCCTTAAATCCATGAAGCAGGCATCTCAATCCAAATCTGACAAGATGTCAGTTTTTGCAAAATAAATATAATATTCTTCCCAGCGATATGCTGATGTCCTGAGCCCTATCTTTCCCCACAAGGACCAGGTCACCTTAAAAAGGGCTGCCAGATAATTATTGGCAAGCCCTCCCAAGTCCAGAGGAGAGGTTCCCTAGAAGGTTATAGTGAATAATAGAGCCAGGTTTCCTCTAAGGTTGCCAGATCCAGACAGAGGCAGATATTAGCCAGTCAACCAAACATTGTGGTAATAGACAAACACCAGAAGATCGCAATGGTGATATATGTAGCGGTGCCAAGTGACAACAACATCAGGAAGGAGGAGTATGGAGAAGGATCAAGGCCTGAAGGAAGAATTGGAGAGGATGTGGAAAGTACAGGTCAAAATGGTCCCAGTGGTGGTAGGAACATTTGGGGCTGTGACTACTAAGCTGGGAGACAACCCAGGAATGAGGTCAGAGCTCTCTGTCCATAAGAGTGCAGTGCCGGGGAACAGCTAAGAGACCACAGAGAACCCTCAAACTCTGAGGCCTCTGGTAGAGAACCCGAGATTGAGGAAAATACTTATCACTCAAAGGCATGAGCAGGGAATTTGTGTGTGTATTTCAGATGTTGAGTTGAATATGTAATAAGAGAGAGGCAGGGGAATTATCTGATCCTCACTTTTCAAAAAGAATTTGTAATACTATTAGTACTTACTTGAAGCAACATTGAAGTATATACAGGTAGTCCTCATTTAGTGACCACACTTTGAAGTTACCATGACATTGAGGAGTCCTCAGAGTTGTAGTTCCAGTGTCTCCATGGTCATGTAATTGCAATTCAGGAGCTTGTCACCCAGTTTACAATTACAATAGTCACAATTTCATGTGGTGATGGCCTCACCATTTGTGACCTTCATTTTCTGGCTTCTGATAAGCAAAGTCAATGGTTTGCAAATGACGAGCATACGACATTCCTAAGCACTGCACAGGATTTGACTAATGACAGCAATTGGAACTAACATAGTAAGTTGGCACAGTCACATAACAGGATAACAGCGTTGGAAGTGACCTTGGAGGTATTTTGCTTTATAGCTGCATCTCTTGGCAATAGAATTCTTGGTCCCAATTACTATCGTGTTTTTTTTTTGTTTGTTTTTGTTTTGCTTTAATCTATATGCCGCCCTTCTCCGGAGACTCAGGGCGGCTTACAATGCGTTAAGCAATAGCCTTCATACTTTTGTATATTTATACAAAGTCAGCTTATTGCCCCCACAATCTGGGTCCTCATTTTACCTACCTTTGAAAGGATGGAAGGCTGAGTCAACCTTGAGCCTGGTGAGATTTGAACTTGCAGTAATTGCAAGAGCAGATGTTAATAACAGTGCTTTAGTCCACTGTACTACAGGCTCTTAAGTAGTTTGAGGACTACTGGTACTACTGCAGTAAATATTTCTTGATACATACTTGACATATTTAGATTTTAGGATTTTCAAATGTTCTGATATTACAAAGAATTTTCCATGTGAAATACTGATGAAGTAGTAATAACAACAGTCCAGTATTATTTGTTTTGTCCTTGATTTCTGCAACTTGGCATTAGTTTGTAGGAAATTGTTTTGCATTTTGAAATAATTAACATAACTAACTCCAATCTTAGAAATAATACTTGAATCCAAATATTTATCTTATAATTGAATCTTATACTAGTTTTGTGCATGTTTAATATTCGTAGGTATATTTTATCCATCAGTGCATTGTTTTGTTCCATATTTCTTTAATGTTTCAATTGAGTTTCACTTTAAAGTTGGAGTTGATGTGAAGATGAACCATTTATATGCTCCTTCCACGTAAAATTCCAGTCTGATTGGCTGCTCTTTGTTGTTGAATGACAAAAATCTACAGCCTTTCTATCTAGAACAGGGATGTCAAACTTACAGCCCATGGGCCACACCCACCCCGTTTTAGCGAAGGGGGGAAAAGTTGAAATACGTCACGAGACAACATGTTGTCGCAAGTTTGACACCCATGATCTAGAACCTTTATCTGAGCAGATTGTGGCTTTTATGTGCACATTCCTTTTGTTTAATGAAGAGACTCACTCTAACTCAGACTAACATTTGAGAGCATACTTGGATTTGCCCCAATGCTTCTTATGTTCAGTTTTCAGTGAATGCTTTCCTAGGCTTTGTTAGCTATCCACATAGCCCTTAACAGTTCACCTATAACTTCCTTCTTCATCCTTCCTCTGTCCTTAAACAAGGGTAGAGTCACATGTATGTTTATCTATATTAAACTGTCAATATGGAGTTAAGATGCATCATTATGTTTTAAAAATAAAATAGATACAAGAGTGTGAAATTTAGTAGATTTATAGTGGATACTGAGGGTTGCATATCCTATATCCAAAACATTTTTTCTGCACCGTAATAATTGAGAATCTCTTCTGGGAAGTTTACTGATGCCCCACTCAATACAGAGATTTAATTAGTTCTTGAAATGTTTGCTTTAATTGGTTAATCAAACATGACCATCTGCCAGGAATTGCATTTGTCATCTAGATTCAGTAACAAATGCTTATAAAGGCATGGTAAAAAGTTCATTGTTTGTATTTGTAGTGAAAAATATTATAAAGAGTAAAATTACCTCTTGTACTTTATATGCATAATCTGTGTCCATATTTTTTATGAATCTATGTTTCATCTGCAAAATGCAGATAGTATCTACTTTAATTACAGAACATGACTATTAACAGTTTGTGGCAGAAATACATCAACTCCCCGATGAGAGTTAAGAAAACAGTAATCCCTAATTATACAAAAATTTGGCAAATTTTAATACATGGTTGAATAAGGACACGACTGGTTTCTTAAAAAGTTCTGCTTTTTAAATCTGCCTTGGTCGCTATAAATAGTTGATTTGCTTTTTCTCTTAGCAAAGAGTCAAGAGTTAGCATTTTAGACTGAAGTATTAACCATTGCTAATCCCAATTTCAATCTTTCTTGCAGGCTGCTGATTTGAGTAAACCAATAGATAAAAGAATATACAAAGGAACGCAACCTACATGTCATGACTTCAATCACTTAACAGCCACAGCAGAAAGTGTTTCTCTTCTAGTGGGCTTCTCTGCAGGACAGGTGCAGCTAATAGATCCTATTAAAAAAGAAACTAGCAAGTTATTTAACGAAGAAGTAAGTGAATGTTAATCTTGGTGCATGCAAATGTGCTTGCATTCTTTATAACATTTTCTTCATGTGTGGCATAATTATTTTTTACTTGGAAACAATTTTCCCTGGTGAATATTGAATACGACAATGTATATTTATAGTACTATTGCAAAATGGATATATTGGCTTTTTCTTCCAGATATTTCTCCAACTTCCTATCCTTACAATAAAAAATGCAAGAGTACAATGCTAAGGTAGATAAGGGTATACTGCATTTCAATTGTAGTCAGTTTTATACCAGTGACAATTATTTCTCTATCTTAAAGCTGTGTGTTCCCCAGTTTAAATTAGCATTTCATATGCTTCATTGAAGTTGCTAAAATAGTTCGTAATCATGGTTAGAAATATATTGCAGACTAAATAATAATAAAATAAATATGTGCAGAAAGCTTGCATGAATGAGTGTTTTTAGGAACTTTTTTTGCTTTTTTTAATGCTATGAAAAATGAGCCTTGGTATGAACAATGTTTTTCATGTACATTTGTTCAGATAAAAATAGGGTAGGTTTAGCTATTAGATTCTTGTTCAGCTATGGCATCCTGTCAGTGAAAGGTAATCTTCTGATAGACAATTCTTCTCATCCAAACTATTTCTCAATTATTACAAATCCATCAAAACAGATAGGGTATAAGCTGGGGGGAGGAAGCTTGCAGTGAGAGGAGAAGAGAAATTGAAAGGATGAAAATCAATGTATGTTTTCCGAGAAATTACAAGTTATGCTAGCTTTCATAGCACAAAAACCCATACAATTTTGTTTAAACACCCTCTTCTCCCCTCTATCACCATTATCTATTCACTGATTTAATCTTTTATTCAAAGCAATTTATAGCAGGGACTTTTGCAGCTTCTATATCAGTTTATCTGCTGGACTATAATTCAAGACTGTTCTTCCCAAAAGTTTTGGTACAGTTTTCCTTTAACTCACAATCAGCACCAAAAATTGTAGCTCCTGACGAGGAGAAACTAGCATTTTTGCTACCTACTTACTCATCTATAAATATAGCCTATTTAGCTCCAGTTGTACAATAAAACACAACACACTCATGGTGTCTATTCTAAATAAAAAATAATGGAAGAAAAAAAATGCCAAGATGGAATTATTCTATTTCATGCTTCTCTAAATATTACAACAGCTATGTAAATTAATCCAAGTATATCATAACTTGAATAATTGGGGGCAGTACTTTTATTGGGGCCAGCTTAAGTTATATTAAATCATTTCAGGATTTTTAATTTCAAAACCTTTTCATAACGGAAGTTGGTTAAAATTAAAATGGTAGGTGGATGATTTTGGAGCTATAATTATATTAATTTACATTGTTAGGTGTAATGGGGAGCTTCAGAGTTACAGATTTTTGATTATAATTAAAATTTTCTATCCTAATTGGTGAGAAAATGGCACAAGGATATGTTTTCCAATTCTTTATTTTTAATTTTATTTTTAATTATTTCTTCACTTTATTCTTCAGTCATCTTACGATAAAGAGATCTTAAAGCTCAAGTGTTGGTAATATTGTAATTTTGTACAACTTCAGAGCATTGCTTCAGTGAATTTTGGGATTTTTTTCCCATGGAAGAAGGCTTTGTTGCTTTCACAGGACGAGAATAAACTTATTTTGTTTTTATAAGTAGATAACAAGAATCCTGATGGGTTGTCCACTATGACACCTGTTTGTTAAGAGCTCCAGAATACATCTATGAAATTTATATCCCAGTTAAAACCAATATTATACTTTTTTGGAGAAAGAAGCAATTTTGTTATTTTTAGCTGCCTTTAAAAATTGTTAACACTTATATGACTTGAAATGAACAATGAATTGAATACTGTAATAGTTTTAAAAATATTGGAAAATAAGTCAGAATTTAGTAGATTAGTATTTTTTTCTTTGGAATATGTGTAATTTTCTGAGCCTGATTTTATACTAAAAATGTTAATGACAAATCTGGCTGGTTATTATATTCATATTTATAAGAAAGATATTCTTTTAACTTCAGTACCATTCAAAGTCATAATGAGTTAGTTGTCTTCAAGAAGAAATATGTATTTTTGATAAAGAATTATTACATGAACAATGCAGAACTGTGTTAACTATATTTTTCTTTTGTTTTTCAGAGACTAATAGACAAGTCCAGAGTAACTTGTGTAAAATGGGTGCCTGGTTCAGAAAGTCTCTTCCTAGTAGCTCATTCCAGTGGCAATATGTACTTATATAATGTGGAACACAACTGTGGTACCACAGCTCCACACTATCAGCTACTTAAACAAGGAGAAAGTTTTGCAGTCCATACGTGCAAAAGTAAATCTACACGAAATCCTTTACTTAAATGGACAGTAGGTGAAGGTGCTCTAAATGAATTTGGTTTTTCTCCAGATGGAAAATTCTTGGCATGTGTAAGTCAGGATGGCTTTCTTCGTGTATTTAACTTTGATTCAGTTGAGTTGCATGGTACAATGAAAAGCTACTTTGGAGGACTGCTGTGTGCATGTTGGAGCCCAGATGGAAAATATATTGTAACAGGTGGAGAGGATGATTTGGTGACTGTCTGGTCTTTTGTGGACTGTCGAGTGATAGCTAGAGGCCATGGGCACAAATCATGGGTCAGTGTTGTGGCCTTTGATCCATATACAACCAGTGTAGAAGAAAATGATCCAATGGAATTCAGCGGCAGCGACGAGGACTTCCAAGACCTCCTCCATTTTGGACGAGATCGAGCAAATAGCACGCAGTCAAGATTATCAAAAAGGAACTCTACAGAGAGTCGCCCAGTAAGTGTAACGTATAGGTTTGGCTCAGTAGGTCAGGACACGCAGCTATGTTTATGGGACCTAACAGAAGACATCCTCTTCCCACACCAGCCCCTCTCAAGAGCAAGGACACATACAAATGTCATGACTGCCACAAGTCCTCCCACAGGAAGTGGTGGAGCTAACCCAGGAAGTAATGGAAATAGCATCACAACACCTGGAAACTCTGTACCACCTCCTCTTCCACGTTCCAATAGCCTTCCACATTCTGCAGTTTCCAATTCTGGCAGCAAAAGCAGTGTCATGGATGGTGCCATTGCCTCTGGTGTTAGTAAGTTTGCAACCTTATCATTACATGACCGGAAGGAAAAACACCATGAAAAAGATCATAAGCGAAATCATAGTATGGGACATATATCTAGTAAGAGCAGTGACAAACTGAATCTAGTTACTAAAACCAAAACAGACCCAGCAAAAACTTTGGGAACGCCTCTGTGCCCCAGAATGGAAGATGTTCCTTTGTTAGAGCCTCTTATCTGTAAAAAGATAGCACATGAAAGACTGACTGTGTTAATTTTTCTTGAAGACTGTATAGTCACTGCTTGTCAGGAGGGATTTATTTGCACATGGGCAAGGCCTGGTAAAGTGGTAAGTTTTAATCCTTAATGCTGCATCAAAGAAATAGAACTTGAATAGGTAGTTTTTTTTTTCAAAACATAAGTGAATGTTGAATATAAACAATCTTTACGCTTAATGTAAAAATTATTTCCTCAGAGCCATACTTTTGGATACTGCATGCCGTATTTCTGAACAATTTGAAGTGTCTGGCCTAGGTGAAGTCCTTTTGAAATACAGTTGCCTTCCAGCCAGAGATATGTTGTGTATCCAAAGTGTCAGTGATAGGTTTCTTATATTTTCAAAACTATTTTTATATGAACATAATTGAAACAAATCTAAATTACTGAGGGTAAAGTTGCAAGGGCATTCAGGAATATAGCTTACTAGACTGTAATTTGACCTAGTGTGACATTTTGGAAAGCTGAATTTCAAATAGTTAACTGATAGGAGTCAATAAACAGAATATATTCTCACCTTTTTCGAAAGCTATTCATAGTGATGGGTTTTTAATTCTACAGTGATCAGGATAATTTATAGTGTCTCCATTTAAAATTTGAATGAACTGATATTAAATATGCATTGTAATATTCTTGACTTTTAATATTGACTTCTTCAAGTATTTTTGTGTGTAAAATCACAAAAGTCCCTTAGCAGAATGTATCCCCATCCCATAATTTTCCTTGTCACTTCAGATTATTTTCATGTTAACACTATTTTTAACTCAAGCATTGTTCATTAAATCCATAGGCTTAAATCTGGCAGCGGTAATCTCTTATTTCATATTTAACAAAATTAGCTATTTAAATTTTTTAGCACTTTATGCTGATAAAGGTTGACTTCAATGTTTATTGGCAATTTGAAGGCTGTAGCTAAGATTAAAAAAAAAACTTGAGGTGATTTCTGTGCACTCACTTGGCCATCCTGGGCTCAGCCTCGACAAACTATGATTCCTTATGTAGCCACATATAAGGCTTTGGGGAAATCTTTTGTTATATAGTCCAACACAATAGAGCTAGAGCTAGAATCAGAACTAGCACAATCTCATTTGTTATTGGGCAAGCTAGAGAAAATGATATCTGAAATGGCTGATGGTTGACTTTTTTTAGAGATGTAGCATTGGGCGCTTTTAAAACATCTTCCAGAGAATAAGCCATGAAGTACTTGACAGTTGTCAATTCCTGGAGTGAACAGACTTCAGAAAATTATTGCAAGTAGAGTTCTTCCAATAGAAATCAAAGCCTATTGGGATTTACAGTTTCATTGTTGCTCTGTAATGTGTAATAAATTTTATTCGTTAAATTCTCAACAAACATGCTCTGATATGTGGTCTTTCCTGTATGCCTTATCTTGGATAGACAATCTAAAAATGTGACATTATTTTCATGTGGGTGAGAGAAACAAATTACGCGGATAAAATCTCACACTTCATTCATTTCCGTTAAGATAATTTCCATCTTAGTCTATGCAGGGGCCAAAGAAAGCTGATAGTGATTTTGCAGATGTGTGTTGATGAAATTGGAAATTATTGCCCCTCTGTTTAATGTACCAGAGATCCCAAAGTAATTTAACACTGGCTCTTAGGTTGCTTCCATTTTTATTAGATTGAGATTCTTAAAGGAGCTGAAGTGAACTAATTAATACAATTTGCATTTAGCAACAGTTTAATTTGGAGGACATTTCAAATATTTCAGAGATAGAGTATGCAGTATCAAAAGCTAGGATTTCTATATTTGGCAAATGCAGAAATCTTTAAGGTAAGTTTCATGCTGATAGTATTCATGAGGTCTCTGAAAACTAATATTGCACACTGTTGTAAATGCCATTTTATTTAGGATGCGTTTACTTAGGATGGGTTTCTTATTGCTGTTGTTGTTATTCTTTATTTTGCAGTTGGTGAGCTTACTTAGCTGGCCTAAACTAGCAAATTAGGTGATATGTTTACAGGGTTCTGGCCAGGGTGGTCATTGTAACAGAAACCTTGCTTTTTGTTTTATAGGAGAGCACTTAATTAAACTCTATGCCTATTTAATTAATCTTCAAAACAATGGTAACATATTTCTTCCCCCGGGTTAAACACTGCCTACATTTATCTTATCCTAGGTTTACTCTCTTTAGCTTCATTTTAAAGCCTTTAAAGCTGCTGTGTTCCTGCACTGTTATTTGTTCACAATGATCCTAGCATATAGTTTCCACTCATCCATTTTCTGCTGCTAAAATTGTTTTCTGCCTTTGTCAGAAGATTTCAGTTGGATAAAAGGGTCACAAACCTCCAGGTTGAGGAAAACCAATTTTGCAATTTGAATCTTCATTGCTACTGAGCCAGCCTTTTCTGTCTTCCCGACCGTCCCCCTTTGCCAGACTGGTGCAGCAAGCTTAGCAGAAGAACAGGTTAAAATATTTATTCATTAGAATAAACTCCTTTGGTCTGGCTGCTCTCTGCCTTGGCTGAAGTATCTAATTATGGTTTCAGTATCAGGAACCCATAGGTTAGAAAGAAACACTTTCAGATTGGAGTAAGAAGATTTACACTACAGCCTTAGGTTTTCTTACTCTGCATTCTCATGTTTTGAGCTTCCTTGTGTCCTTTCTTTTTCAAAATACAGTTTAGACACATGTTAAAATGTAACATTGTGTTCAATAAAAACACACAGTAAAGTCATTTTGCACATAAAAGCAACATTTTAGAACTGTGCTGATTTATGGGAAAGCTGCCTATTCTACTGGCATGAAAGTTTTTCAGTAATGCTTTGTAAAAAAAATTGTTGCATCACTAAGAAAGTTAAGTTGCTCATGAATCTTTTGACCAATTCCTTGCTTGCTAGTCTGGTAGAAACAGCAAGAAAGTTCTTGGATTTCTTTTGGGATGCTAGTCACACCTAGATTTCTATCAGGTATTGCCTTCATTGACAGATTTTATCCAACGTGATAATTAACCACTTGTAATTTTCAGAAAACTTGCAGCTATTTATCTTTGCATATTCTTAGTATGATTTGACTAACTATAAAGGTTGAATTGAATGAACTGGCAGCATATACCCTGGCAGAGTAAATGTGTTACCAATTTGTATAATAAAATCCACATTAAATTTACAACATTTATTTGAACCATGTTGTACAAGAAAAAAAATTAGATCTAAATTGTAGAACATTTTCCAATAAGCAGCAACTGTAGTTCAGCATCATTATTTAACTTAGTTCTGTGCTAAAATATTGTACAGATATTTTGTGATGCTATATTGGAGTGTGATCAATTGCATTTGAAATGAAATTTTCATTGGCAAAATGGTTTCATTGAATGGAAATATAAAATGCTGTGGAAAGTGCTAGCTATGATTGGCGTAATGCTAGATTTAATGATTTAAACAGGATCTGGGGATTCCTTGAAAAGTTTTTACACATAATTGTTGTGATGAATTAATATGAGTTAACGATACCCAGTCAAAAATTAGCCAGTTCCTTCTGTGAAGCCAAAAAAGAATAATTGTCTCCACATGGTTATCCAAATTAGAAAGAAAAGAGTCATGCTAAAATATTTCAGAAATGCTTCATTTTTTGGAACTAAGTAATGTACTTGAACAGACCATGTATGTTTCCCTTCCATCACTTTAAAGCTACTAAAGAATAATTGCTGGCCTGCATTATGTTGAAAGAAAGAAAACCAGCTAATTTATTGTCATATAACTTGTATAAAGTTTAAAAGCAAGATTTTTCCCTGCATTTATGAAATCTGTATACATGAATTTGTTAAGACTGACACGTTAGGTTATACTGTACAAAATTGTAATGATATAGTGAAAATCAACAGTAAATTCATATGTATTTTCTTTATAAACGTCCATCTGATTTCTTGGCAATTTAAATAAATTTCATAAGAGCCTTTCTAACATAAATTGTTAATCTAAATTGACTGTTGCAATAATAATGAAGCTTTAATAAGTATTGTTCATATATTTATAATTTTTAAAAATCATGTTTGTTTCATACTGCTTATTTTTTAGCATTTTATGTCACTGTTTCAGCTGAAGAACCCTACTAAATACTTGACGTTACAACTTACCGGGGTTGTCCTCTGTATACTGACATTAAATAAAAAATGAGACTGAATTGTAAAATATAGTTAACTGTCAGTAGTGCTTCTCATGCCTGAAGTTGCAATGTTGTTTTGCCACAGCTGATACTTCACTAAATGCAACAGGCGGCTTTCTGAAAAACTGGCCACTGTAAATGCTGCTTCTGTAATTGCGGTTTTTATAAATGAGCCTAAATGAATGATACAATTTCTTGAGTATTTCATACCCATCTCAAATATTGGTTTGAATTCTTTTATCATATTAATATATCATAAGTATATCCTGTTCAGTTATTATTAATTGAAGGTGCACCTGATACATTGGTATTTCCAGTTTGAATGACAAAACCATGGGATGAAGAAGGTTATCTAAATCTAAAGAGCTATTGAAATGAAAACATGATATCTTCTGGATTCTATAGGAGCTCTTTTATTTATCAGCTGTGTTAGTTAAACACTATGAGTTGCTTATCAGAATTAGGTGCATAAACAAGCAGTCCAGAACTTAATTTGGCAGAATCCTAAGTACATATCAATTTTCATATGGATTGCTGACATTGCTAGATGTTGCTGACCAATTTTAGCTTTCGTTGGATTGCTTTAATCATTTTGGAAAATAAGGTGTGTTTTCAAGATGGTACTTTCAAAATGAAGTTCCAAAGCACACCCCTCCCCCCCCCAAGTTTTTCATCTAACACATTCACTTTACTAATAATTTATTTTTGGGAAGTACGTAATTCTCTTCACTATTTTGTTACGGTATAAAAACTACAAAGCACTATTTAAAAGTCACAGGTGAATAAAACAATTTCTTCCTACTGACATAGAACACTAATACTAGTTGGGACATTGTTTTATCTTATCACAATAGTAAAAATTATCTTGTCCTTAGATTCTAACTATATCTTTCATATATAAGGCCATAGAGATGGTTTATGAAGATTATTTAGATTAATATTAAAATAGATTGGTTTGTTTGAAAATTAAGAAAGGCATAGAGTTTTCAGAGGTGACAAGCAATGGGAAAAAATGCACACTTTGTAAATACTGTGACTGCCCCCTGGGAGTATACTGCATTGTCCTAAATTAAATGCTATGTGGTGATACCCTGTGTGTAGAGATAAATTGTATTTAACATATAAGTGTGATTGCCGTGATATTATAAAACACAGGTCTAGTCATATGGGATTAGACCTTCTTTTAAAAGTTACCCAACAGTTACCCGACTTATGAATTAAGCATATGCAGTTAATTACTTTTAGGAATGGAATTTTTATGCAGAACCTGATGTTTTGTTTAACGTTAAATAAAATGAGTCCCCCTAATGTTAAACAAAATGAATCCCCTAATTTTAGAGCAAATTAATCTTGTTCTTTTGTTCTTATATGTTGTCAGACTTCATCTATATCCTTATTTGTGTGTGTAGAGAGTGACCTACCTTATTTCTTTTGTCTAAATCTTGCTTCTTCAACTGGAATATTTATTTGACCAAGAAAATTACTTGATTTATTCATGACACTGCATGCATGCTTTTATTTGTTAATCAACTTATACTTGGTTTTTAAAAAATATGCTTGATTAAAAAAATAATATTGAATTGTAACATTCTTTTTATGAAGATAAATTATGAAAAGTGCTTTGATAAAGTATATATGAAAAAATAGATTCAGTAAACATTATCTCTTAAAATTAGTTCCATCCTCAAGAGAATGTGCCCTTCCCTTTCACAGATAAAAAAGCATCTTATTTTCCCTCTGCCGTGCATAAAAATGAAGTCATTTAAGAAGAGAAAATTGTACTAATGAAAAGTATTTATTTATGTTCCCTCTGGTAAGGAACTCAAAAACATTTTAGTGTATTTAGCATGCATAGTAAATACTAAATTCATTTCTGATCTGTATTTTAAGCATGCCAGCCCACTGTATGCTCACTTACAGCCCACCTATGTGCACCAGGAAAAGCTCAGCTGGAAAAAAAAATTAAGCTAATTTTAGCTGAAGTAGTTATCAAGGAGAATGTGATGATTCACATTTCTGTATTGTTGGTCCTTTTTCAGTAAGCTAGAGGAGGGGATACTTTTTACTTTAAAAAGTTGTTTTCTGACCAGTTACAACCAAATTTCTGGGCCTAACAATGCCAGAATGTGAGTAATGCTGGTATTGCTGCACAAGAGAACTTTATTTAAATGAAATGGCAGCACCTTACAATTGTAGCATCTTCATTGTCAATCAAGTGGTTTATTTAACAACCATTTGGCTTCTAATTTAAAGAACAAGTAGCAGTCACTAAACAAGGAGAAGGTGTATTAGCATCTGTTGATAGCTGAATGGTGAATAATACGTTTGAAACAAGAAATCTAAAACTGATGATGAACTAAGATTTCTTCTGGCTTGTTTGGAACTTCTTAATGATCTTTTAATTTTTTTAAAAAAACATATTTTACAATAAATAGTCTTATACTCTGACAAAACATAAGATTTTAAACAAATCTAGGCAAACAACCAAAAAGACTATAGGTATTTGCACAGTGTTTGCAGAAATATATGTGTAGAAAATTTAAAACTAGGGAAAAGGAAATAGGGAAATAATACAATTACATTATTACTATATCTGAGATCAGGAAATTTGGAGAGAAATTTCTTAATTGCACAGTAATGTCTATTTCTCACAAGACTGGATTGTCTGTTAGCACTGATTTTACTTTGGGGAGGGAGCTTGGAGAAATTGCTGTCATTAAAGTACTTAGCAGATTAACAGATTGCATCTGATTTCACATTTGCTTATTTTTCATTTCTTCTATTGAATTCTTATTCATGCTATACTTTTTTTAAAAAGTGGGTTCATTCTTACTGATACCTTTTCCCGAGTTTAAATATTAGTACTGTATTGAGACTAAAGTTCCATGCTGAATTTCTAATGTACTAGGCAAAGTAATATTGTATATTACAAAGGATGCCTAGCAGAATAATTATTTACTTCTGGCTTTAAAACATATAGGGTGCTCTAAATCAGGGTTTGATTGTTTTTTTGCTGGCTTCTACCAGAAATAGCATCTTAGCTAAAAAATAGGTGCTAGATCTTTGGTGTATATGAAAGTGTTGAAACAGATTCTGTTGGCTTACCTTGTTTAGGGCAAGAGTTCATTGTAGAACTTTCTGGGTACAAAAACATGCTTGTTTCTTAGCATTTTATCATTATTGGGAAAAAGTAAGAAAGAGCTCCTGTAGATTCCAAAGATGTAATTAATTCTATATTAGAAGTGGACTTTAAACTTGAGTGTGACCAACTGTAGCTGTGTGATACAAACTAAGAAAAATATCTGGAAAGTCTGTATTTTAGAGTATGAAGGATTCCATCCCCAAACATTTAAAGCTTTTATTGATGTTATACTGTTTGCAGAATTGTGAAATGTCAGAGGTTTGAGTGCATATCAGAAATTTATCTCTTGCTCATATTTTTAAACCTCTGTTGTCAACTTCAAGAATCAGTTTCTGATCACAAAAACTATGGCTTATTAAACCATAAACTAAAGACAAAATCAACTGTTAGAGGAAAATATGACACGTTAGTTGCTTAAAAATTAGTGGACTGCAACTACAGTTCACATCAAATTTGGGGCAGAGTTGCTCATTATGTTTCATTCATGGAGGGACATTCTTCAGTAAAATGGCTCATATCCTAGAGATTTTCCATGTAATGTCTGAATGAATTACATATCTGCTGAAGAAAAACAGAACATCTGTCAGGTGAACAGACAAAGCCAGAAATGTTTACCTTCCTCATCTAACAAAAAAATTAAATAGATTGAAGCATCTGTTTCTGTCCAAAGAGTACATAAATTGGCTGAGAATCTTCAAATTGCTATTTCAGGCATCAGATTGAAAACCCATTCATTAATAAAAATCTCAGTCTGGTAAAAATTGCTTATGAGTAATCGTATTTTATGAGTACAAACTATAAACTGTAAGGAGTATAAATAACCTGAAAGGCAAATTACATCAGCAAATAACTAATTTTTCCCAGCAAAGGGCTCATAATTCAGACACATTTGTAGTTCATTTCCTTTTCTTAATATTATAAATAACAAACTATTCTGTGCAGCTTTATCACATTTTCTGCATAAAGAAACCCAAGTGTTCTATGATTCTGATAAACTCAACATCTGATATAGCATGAAATCTCTATTGTAAGAGTTTCCTGTGAGATGTATGAGGATATTTCTGAAGCCAGTTTGGGAAAACTTGCAGAACAAGACTTCTTGTTTGTCATACCAGACTACAACTTGTTATTGCCTTGATCTTCTTTTCATATCCTAAATCTTGGAACTGGTTTTGTTATATCCAAGTAGTATATATTCACTAACATTTTTGAACAATATGATCTAAAATTATAAATTGAGTATGCAAATATTCTGCAAGAAAAATCTGCAAACATAAGTGTTTAGCAAAGTAAATGTTGCATTCTCTTGCTGGATTAATGTAAACTGCTTTGTTTGCAGGGTGTTTTGCCATCCCAAAACCAGGCCAATTCTCCAAGTGGAACTGTAGTATAGCCATCACACTCCTCCTAGCAAACCTTTGAACACAGAACAAGAAGTAATGACAATGGAACCAGGAGCTGCTGTTCAGCCAGAAAGCATCACAAATTCTTAAAAGGCAGAGTGTTATGTGAATCACATAGTGTTTTACAAAATAATTCTGTAATGAGTTATATTTTTACATCTAATACTTTGAGGCTGCTCACCTAAGGAAGAATTTTGCTTAAAAATGCTTCTTTTGGTGCTACAATTAAAAATCACAATTGCTTTATATTTCTCAATGTAATTTAATCACATACCTACATTCACACACATCTACACGTGTAAAATAAAATGTTTCTTAAATCCAAGTAAGTTTAATGGTGTTATAAATTAGAATACTACTGTTGCGTTTTTTTCTTTGCACTGCTTTTTTTAAAATCAGAGATGGTTAACCTGAAAAGCTCTCATGGGAAATTAAAGTCATTACTTTCTGGCTCCACAAATGTAATTCAGGAAGATGGATGCTACAATCATAGGTTTTTCTAAAAAAGATTGTTTGCACTTAAATAGCATAATGCTAGTGGATAATTACTTTTAAAATGGGTGTTTGGGCACCCTCTAAAGTTATGTTATAAAGAAACAAATCCTTTGTATCAAACATTTTATTTTAATAATGTTTCAACTACAGTCAATCTGTATTATATATGTAAATAATGTAATTCAGTGATTGGGGAAATCATTACACTAGTAATTTTAATCATTTAAGGAAGTGATATTTCTAATTCAGAAAATACATATTAAACTATCTTGAATATGCAGTTTTGTTTACTTTCTGTTTAAATCACCTTTGATGTAACTTTTTGAATGTAATATTTTTGGTATGGACATGATTTAAATTCTTGTAGAAGATGTTATTTCTGAAAACACTCAGGTCAGATTTAGGAGCTATGAACTGGGCTTTTTATTAGTAGGTGTTATTTTCCTGCACTTTATTCTAAATGGCTTTTCTTCAGTACGGTTTAGAACACTACGAAATTCTTAAGCCTAGTTTTTAAAATATATGTTAATTAACAGTGGTAGTCACCATTTTCATGCATTGGGAAACTATAATTTAATATCTGTTAATGTGATTAGTAACACTAAATGTTTATTTAAAATTATTGTAACAACAATAGGTTGCCACTGTAGAATAATGTGCCAAAGTACATAGTTCTCCTGTTTCAATGAAAAATGGATGCCTTGTTGGAGGATAAATATGAGAGTCTGCATAATTAAATTGCTGCTTGGTTAGTTCTATTAAACTAATTTTGAACACACTAAAATCTGAAGAATTCCCTTCAGTTTTTTTTTTCTTAAAGAAAATGCTGTCTGCTTGATAGTGGAATTATGCGCCTGAGGATTCCTCTCTGGAGATCAGATCAAGAGGCAGAACTTCCCATATTCTTGTCAAAGTAGTATCAGCATTTCAGCCATTGTGAAGCAATCCCTGCCCCTTTCTTGTAGGCCTGGAGCCTCAGGATGCACATAGAAAAAGACGCAGAACTTGCATTGCAACCATCCACTGCTGCTTTCTTCACATCCTTCCCGCCCCCTGCCCATCCCCAGCTCTATCAAAAACCCTGATGTTTGGAAGGGTTTTTTTTCTTGGACTGAGATGTTGCAGAGGTATTTTCCTCTTTATCCCCATGCCAATCTTATATTTGATGGCGGTTCTGAAGCAGAACAATGGGGGAAGCAAAGAGCTTATTTGAATACTTGCGGTTGCCACGTAGTCTCCTCACTTTCTGGCTATGGAAAAAAATGCTGAGTGCTAAAGACTACAATTCCTAGACCACTTTTTGATAAATAATGTTTCAAGGTTGTAGATTTTATGTATATGAATGTTTGTGCAGATAATCCTGCTATTTGCTGGATTTCCACAGTTCCATATTTTTAACACTGCCCCGCACACTCTTTGAAACAGAGTTTCAGTAGTGTCTTTGATGCATTACTATTCATTGGACTGCATATAAGTCCTTTTGACATACTTAAAAGTGTGTTTGGGCTTATAGTAAATACTTTCAAAATTAGTTCGAAATAATTAAATAGTGCCAGGCTATTTTTGATTGCATAATACAAACTGCTAGTGAAAGCAAAATAAAAGTGCCATTTTAACTACTGTGCATTGGCAGGTTTAAGATCTTAGGCAAGACATTTTTTATGCCTTAAGAACAAACCGTAGCTTGCTTCACACTTTGATAAGCCTTAAACATGAATTATATATTATAATGGCTGGACTCATACATCATGCTAAGCCAAAACTACATAAGCCATATTATGGCTCAGCACAGTGTGTGAACCAGCTGCTTAAAACCCAAAATTTGGATTTAACTGTGAACACAATGTTTCTCTCCACAGAAGGCATTTCATCCTGTGGAGGCAGAAGGGGCTGCTTTTGCTGAGTCTGTCTCTGCAAAAATGTATTTGGGGGAGGGCAGTCATCACAGAATTGCTTCTTCCCTTTCTGCCGCTGTGAGTCAACTCTGGAAATCGGTATGTATAATTATACTTTTAGAAGCAAGAAACACTAAGTGGTTCAACCAAACCATCTTCTTTAGAAATAATAATAATAAAAAATAATAAAAAAAATCACAATTCTGTAGTAAAAGTGCTGTAGAACTAGAAAGCAGAAAAAAAAAACAGGCTTTAAAAACAGTTCATAATCCTGTGATCTAAGGAACACAAAGTGCAGAGAATCCGTTTTTTTAGTCTAAACCTGTGTCAAGTAATCCCTCCGAAAAATTTTATGTATGGAGAGAGCGGAAGTCCCTTGTCTGTGCTTACCTTTGCCTAATTCTGAAAAAGTCCTCACTTTTGGAAAACAAGTACAAAATTACAGCTTTTATAAAATAGAATAGTCTAGCTTGTCAAGTATCAGGGTAGACTTCTAGATCGTGCTATGCTAAAGCATTAAAAAGCTGAACAGGAACATTCGGGGAAACTTGTCTTTTCTCACTATGCATGACACTCAAGCAGTTGTGCAGGTCTTTGTGCTACCATTTCTTGATTAGAAAGTTACATGCAGCCATCCTTCTGCTTACCTTTGCAATTATAAAATCTACAAGCTTTAAAAAAAATATTCCAAAGCTGAAATTGACCAACATTCTATTATTCTATTCTATTGAATAACATTCTATTGACCAACATTAACTATTTTTAGTGTTTGATCTCATGCAATTCAAAAGCACTTACATTGTACTGTATTACAAATTATTAATTCAACATATGAACAGAGGTTGCCTTATTGTCAAATATCTAAGCATACCTAAAAGCAATATATGTTCTGAATTTTCCTTTTGTTTCCAAAATTGTCAAGTAATTTGTCCTCAACATTATGTTAATGGGAGATGAATCTCAGATTTAGTTTCCAATGAAATATAATGTGCTTCTGATTATGCATATATGTAGAGAATAATGTGAGAATATAATGTACAAGGGTTTTTATTATTGTTTAAGGGATGAAATCATAAAGTATATTATTCTATCAAATCAGACTTCTTCATCTTGGGTGTATTTAGCCTGGTATTGCCTCTTTGGGATATTAAACAGAAAGATTTTGTCATCAACTGTGGGAGATTGCACATGACTGTCAACAGGCAAAATCTGTTCTTGAGCACTTCCTTCTTGAGTGCTCTTAAGAGTAAACATCTCCATTTTTTTGGCTACTTGAAGAGAGTTTCAGACATCTAAAGGCAAAGTAGCTGCTTAATACATAATCTGAATCATTATTTTAGAAGTTTGTAAATTGACTAGAGATTCTATAGTATTTCAACTCTTTAATCAAAACACAATGCACTTTATTCAATACTGTAGATGCCTTGTTTTAAATTACAAGATCCTAGAATAAACTTCTAATGTTTTGGATATGACTAAAGCCAGTAACTATATGAAATAATGCTTATGCATTATGAACATAAACATTTTTAAAGGATATTTTTCCATCCTTGTTTAGCACAGTACCATGGCTTGTTCGGAACCAGGCCGTGCAAGCACTGGGCGAGTGTGTATGTGAAGCTCCACCTGCATGAGTGGTGGGTGTTCACACACGTGAATGCACACAAAAAGCTCCATTTGTGCGAGTGGTAGGCACACGCACATGCCTGCTGCTGGCCCAGAATCATCTCCTCTTCCCCCACAAGTCTGCCATGCTGGAAAGGTTGGGAATCGCTGCTTTAATATTTATAGGTTGAGATCCAGATTACATTTGAGAATTTTACTCAGAATTTCCTGCTGGAGAGTTTTTTGGGAGGGGGAATGAATAATAGAGTTGGAAGGGACCTTGGTGATCTTGTCCAACCCCCTGCTCAAGCACAAAACCCTATACCATTTCAGACAAATGGTTGCCCAGTCTCTTCTTAAAAACGTCCAGTGTTAAACGTTTTCAACTTCTGAAGGCAAGTGGTTCCACTGATTAATTGTTCTGTCAGGAAATTTTTCATTCGTTCTAGGTTGCTTCTCTCCTTTATTAGTTCCATCTATTGCTGCTTGTCCTGCCTTCAGATACTTTGTGGAAGCTCCTTAAATATTGGAACACTGCTATCATGTTACCCCTAGTCCTTCTTTTCATTAAATTATACATACTCAATTCCTGCAACCATTCTTCAAATGGTTTAGCATCCAGTCCCCTCAGCATCTTTATTGCTCTTCTCTGCACTCTTTTCAGAGTCTCAACATCATTTTATATCATGACAACTAAAACTAGATACAATATTCATCCAGTTACAAAAATGCAGATGCAAAAAATAATGCTCCTCAAATTCTAAATTTTAAATTAAGTTCCTATCCTTCCCAAAAGAAAACCTTATCCTAAAAACTTGAATGATTCTGTGAAATAATATGAAAATTCTTCAAAATAAATCTCAATCCTTCCATAGTTTGGTTTGTACAGAAATAATGGCAAGATTACATTCAACCAATTTATTATGACTACTGAATCCTCAAGCAAATGATTGCCTTCATATAGGAAGAAAAATACAGCAGTTTTAGGACTTGCTTTATGTTTTATATTTCATTTGTGTTCTTTTTGTGATTTTCAGCAAACTTTACCATTGTGGTTTTCCTCCTCAAAGATACAGTCCAGTCTTAGTTATCTTTTTGCCACTTTATTGAAGCACTGCTATTTGGCTGTTATTTAAGGTGCACCTGTTATACAGTATCAATATTTTTTACTCTAGTGCAGTACATCATTTTTTTCTTGTTACAGAGTAATGGTATTTGACAGTTCTTTGTGAGAGGACATGGTACTTGATCTCATAATCTATAAAAATCTTCTTAGTCCTTTAATAAATTTATTTTTACTGATACTTCTATAAAAGCTAACTTAAATGCCCTTTAGACTGGATTATTTCCTCCAGCACAAGAGTTTCAAACATCATGGCCTTTTCAAAACAAATGTGTAACATTCTACATTGAACTATGCCAATATGCCAATATACATCTACCAAAAGCTTACTTATAGTTTTCCATACAAGAGAATATTGAGTAATGACTGATCTTTTTCATCCACCATCCATACAAAGACCTGCTAATTTATATTACTTATTTCAGAACACAAATTTTTATACTAGGTTATATTTAAATTTTGTACTTTCTAAATGATAAAGAAGATTGGCTCTGATTATCCTTATGGTCACATGTACAACCCCCTCCCCCAGAAATTCACTTTTATTATTTATATTTATATATATATAAACACAATGTAGCATTTAATATAAAAGTTGGAATAATTCACTCCTGCCAATACAACACCGTTAAATATATGATCACCATAGAAGAAAACTTAAAAAAAATAGGAACTCCTTTAAAAAAATCAAAGTGCATTCTGAGCTATAAAAATGGTGGTTACATTGTTGACTTGTAAAAAAAAGGGGTAAGTCCCAAAGAACAATTGTTGTAGCTTCTTGCTGCAGCATTTGAGGTGATAAGGCACTATTGCCATTTGTGTACTGTTTCAAAAAATCCAGACAGCTCATGAGTGTTTTGATCCATCAAAATCTTCCACCTCGTCTTTCCAGAGCAGGCAGGTGGTACTGTTTCATAGGAGATTTAAATTCCTTCTGTTTTTCAGACTGTTGATGAGACAATAGAAGTTAAAATGGGCTATAATCTACTTGTACAAAATAGCATGTAATCTAATAAGCAAGGCAGAATTACCTTGCGATGTGTCCCAAAATATGTTATAGGCTGCAAAATCTGGACTTGTCTGTTGGATGCTGGGAGGGTAAAAACTGACTGAAATGAAGGATTAGGGTAAGAAGTCAGGTTGGTTACAGCAGGAACTGTC